TATATAAAATCTTCAACATTCATCTTTTTATTTTTAATAATATAGATTTTTCATAATTTTTTAAATAAAAAATAATTATTTTTAATAATATAAATAAATTTTAATTATTAAAAATGATGCAGGTTCAATCAATTTTCTCTGAGAATGCTAGTATTGGAGTACTCCTTGAAGGATCAATACTAGCATGCAAATTTCGCGCGTTCCTAGCATGTCTACCAGCTCATATGATGCAAAAGGAGCAGCGGGAACAACATGGGATTGACGGGTTCAAGCAGTTGATGTTCAAATTTTTTTGCCATGCAGGCTGCAGCTTCGAGCCATTGATGATGCTGCTGAGGAGATGTTGCAAGCTTTAAAACTTGTGACTGTTGCTCAGACTAAACTTATATTTCCCATGAAGAAAGAAAGCTCTAAGCCTAAAAAACCAAATTCAATGAAATTTGGACGCCTGAGGTTTTGTATACGGAAGCTGACTGCTGATATTGAGGAAGAACCAATGCAGGGTTGGCTTGATGAACATTATCAACTGATGAAGAATGAGGCCTGTGAGTTAGCTGTCAGATTGAAACTTCTTGATGACTTTGTTTCAGCCAACCAATGTCCTAAAATGGATGAAGCAACTGATTCTACTTCTGAGAGAAAGGTTCTCCTCTATGAAGGGAATGAGATTGATGTTTAAGATCCGTCAGCTATTCAGAAATTGAAAGAGGATATTAGGCAACATTGAGTGGCACATTACATGTTTCGACACCATATTAAAACCAAAAGACTTCCATGGATCTTCTTATTGGTTCTGATACCATTTATTGGGAGACATATGACTTAATTGGACAACATTGAGTAGTCCATTATATGTTTGGACACCACATTGGGACCAAAAACCTAATCTATTAGCTCAATGGGTCTTCACATATGTAAGCCACTATTTCCTTCTATATCTTTTCGATGTGGGATCTTTAGTTTCCTCACACTCACAAGGAAACATACTTCAACAGTTCTTTCTGTTTCTGCTACATACTGGTGCTCTTCTTGAAAGAGTATTTATGCATTGTGATATGTACTTTCAGTACACAAGACACAAAGGCAGCAGTCCAGACTATATGACATTTCCCCATGTATCTTAGGTTATTATCCTTCACGGTAAATTACTTGAATGCTGGTTGATGTCATTCAATATTGTACTTAGTTTTTAGACGAACTCACTTTTTCATTTTTTCTTTCATTTATTCCTCTCCAGGTGAAGCCACTAAAGGAGATAACCTTCAACTCGCACAATATAACTGCAATAATGACATCTCGTCAGTTTCAAGTTATGCTGGTTGTATTGACCAATCTCCTCTTTGCTCGGCTACCCAAGTGAGGACATGCAATTTTCTTGTTCTTCTTTTCCTTTTTCTAAAATAATATATAGATAGATAATATATATATAAATTAACAGCTGTAGTGCAGTCCGTGCAATACATAGGTAGATCATATACATAAATAAACAGAATGATATAATGCACTCTGTCCTGAGCCGACTGCACTACTTTTAACCATTGATAGAGGGATGGGCCCCCAATATCAGGGGGCCTGGCCCCTCCATCAATGGTTAAGTGAAGTGCAGTCTGTGCAGGGCGGACTGCACTTCACTTTTCTGATAAACAGATATATCAAAACCAATACAGTTTTTTCTATCTAGGTTTTCAATTGCTAGGCAATATCTTAACCTCACACCGGTGAATGGGCCTGCCCATTTGTCCGGTATATGTAGCAATAAACTGGGGGTTTGAACTTTTAAACTTGCTTACTAAATTACATGTGGTCCATAACTCAAGTGGCAGAAGTGGCAGAAATGGCATATATATGTTGTTGATCACAATATATTTTCATTTGAAGTCTGACTAGAACTTTGATATTTGCCTAGAACAGGCCAGTTGGAATGCCGCCATACTTCCTGTGATGTCTTAGGCAAGAGCGTAGTGGTAGTGAATTCCTCTCATCAAGAAAGAATGATTGCTCTGAGTTATAATTGACCTTCTTGTTGGAGCTGTGGTGTCAAAGCTGCACAAGAGGCAGCAAATGAAAGAAAGCTGCACAAGTGGCAGCAAAAGGAAAAGAAGGGGGAGCTGCACCAAAGCATGGTAGCAGCAAAGTGCAGCAAGATAAACGGCAAATGTTGAACAAAATTTTGATGAAATGAGGCTGAAATGAAAGGCAAGTGAAAGGCTGCAAAGTAGCAGCAAGAACAGCCACATGGAGCCTCACAAATGGAAGCAAGACTTTTCATGTATTCTTGCATTAAATGTTTGATAGATTTGCTTGTATTAGATAAGGATTGAGTGAGGAAATTACCTTTATGTACTGAGTTTCCTGCTATATAATAGCAGAACAATGAACGAAAAAAACGAGTTCTCACCTCACCTTAAGAGGGAACTCCATCGGTTCTTCTCCCCTTCTCCTCCAAGTCCCTTCTTACCTCCGAAAAATCCCAACACTTCTTTCCCAATCTAGAAAACTGGAAACTACTATGTTGCTGAGCAAAGTTTGTTAAAGGTAAAATATTGACTAATGGTTGCAGTTGAGCTCTCTTAACCCTACAAGGGATTATTCCTGAACCAGTCGAATTTTTGTTTCATATATCAATATTAACTAATAACAGAAGGTGTTTTATAATAGTTGCATATGCAAATTTTCTTGATGTCCATTTTTATTGGGTGAAATCCACTCTCCAAATATGCAATTTTGGTAGTTGCATATTTTATTTTTACTCCACATTGGTAAATATTGTATGCAATTCAGGCCTTATAAAAGTAGTTTATGATTCCCTGGTGACGATGATGAGGATATAGCAGAGGAGGCAGATGAGGTGGTTCCTGATGGTGTTGAAGAGGTTGAACTTGCAAAAATAGCCCTTGAACATAAAGAACAAGAGTGTAAGTTGCTTCTTGGTGACATTAAGAAATTGTCTGTACATTGTGATTCTCCTTTAGATCCGGAAAAGGAGGCTGACTTGTGGATGATAAGTGGTGGAAGATCTTTATTGGTAAGAAATGGAACCCTGTGAACAACCTCTACTTCAAATATTTTTGGATGCTAATTTTTTTTCTAGGCATATTTAAGTATCACCTTGTTCCTTATCATGAGATTGTTGCCCTTGATTTGCCTTAGATTAAAGTATCAGAGCATTGGGCATTAGGATGTGATACATGCAGCTGATATAACAACCTGTAACTCTGGATTTTTTTCCCTGGAATTGTTTCAATTAAAATTGCCTTTAAAACTTAGCTGTCTGATGAGCAGGATTATAGTAATGAATAATGAATTAATGATATATTAGGAATCATCATTGTAGCAATAACTGAGATGTTTACTGCTACTGACTATAATTATAGTACTCAAGTGTCATTGAAGATATGCAGAAATTTATTTACTATGATAAATCACAGAGGTCTCAAATCCAATTCTTTTGAACAGTTCTAATGCTTTTCTTTTATTCATTTGGTAGGTTAAAAAATTCAAAGACAAAGCAAATACTCAAAAGGGGCCTACTGCAACTGCTGTTCTTGATAGTGATCTTAATTTGATTGACAATGATCGGTCAGGCAAAGCTGATCAGCAATCAATAACATGGCCTAAACACTGAAACGATGGAGCAGGTGATGGATTTGTAACTTCCGTCAGGGGTCTCTTCAACACTCAACAGCGCAAGGCCAAGGTATTTGTGCTGCAAACTATGAGGGGTGAAGGTAATGATTTCGGTGGGGAATGGAGTGATGGTGATGCAGACTTCTCTCCCTTTGCTAGGCAGCTAACCATAACCAAAGCCAAGAAGCTTATTCGGCGGCACACAAAGAAGTTCCACTCAAGAACAGGTCAGTGACCTTCTTTTCCTCTTTCCCTTTCAATATCTTCACTCTTATATCGGTACTTAAGAAACTTGGTACTTACCAGTTACAAGAAGAAAAAAAAAGTCTTCTTTTCCGTGAATCTGGATGCAGTACCATATTCCCTTAGACAGGGTCTGCTGCTAGACACTGCAAGATTAAGTTTAGACTGACTTGACATCTTTGTTTGCAGGTTCATCTTCTCAACAGGGTAACTCACTTCCTTCTTCTCCAATGGCAATGGAAATGGAGAGCACTCCATTTGAAAGTGACTCGTCTAGTGGATCCTCACCTTATGAGGATTTTCAGGAATAAAACTTTCCACTCATTAGAATAACACCAATACAAATAAGGCATACTACAATTGAAAGACTGCTGCGGCCTTTCTGTTGGGTTTAACAGGGGATGTTGCTAGTATTTTCGGAGCATAGAGAGGGTGAAAGTACTTGGTGAATTGGCTATTAACTTACTGGTTGATATTACCTTCAATTCAGATTGTTTTTCGACTACCTGCCTGGATTCAATCAGTTTTGCTCTACAACCATGTTTATCTTAGCTGGGTGGAGTTCTTCAAACAGCCAAACAACTAATTCCCATAATGTTGTACATACATTCAAATAAGGGTTTTTCTAACCAGCACAAGTTACAACACAAGTTAAGAGTTTTTAAAAAATAAAAAATAAAATTTAATTTATTAATTATCAAATTAAATTTAGTCACATAACAATAACATTAAAATTAATGTCTATTTTTATGACAAAAAGGTGCCCTTAATTAACCTATGCCTTAGAAAAATTCTTCAAATAATAATGGGAAAGATGGAATAAAGGGAAAATTTTCATCTCTCAAAAACCCATAAGGTTTACAAGTTTGAATCAAATTAAATTATTTGTTTAGCAGCAAATTGATTTGGTATATATGCCAGATGACACAAAGGAGAAAATACAAACCAAATTTCTGCTGTGCGGAAGAGTCAATCATGATGCTTTGGCTTTTGTTTCAAAATTATTAAGGAGAAAAGTGTCCGGACATGGCCGGGCTGTTCTCTAACTCAGACTAAGCTAGTTGAATTGAACAAATAGTAGGTACCATATGCCAACTCAGATACTAAATTTAAATGAGTCTTAATGAAAGTCTAGTACAATAGAATAACATCCACAAAGATATTGAAATATAACCGACAGGTAGCAAAGACACTAAAATTCCAACATTGAACTACTTAGATTCAGATGTTCCTCCCTCGAATGAAATAAATTTACCAAAAAAATGGACACTTGCAGTGCTTGACGAAAAATTGAGCTGTGGATGATACTTGTCATGAACATAAAGTCTCACATTTTCTGCAGTCTTGGATGCTTGAATATAATTAGTTAGCTCATTAAGTGGAAAGGAGACGTTGAATCTTTTATTTTTTACACGAAGCAGGCTACAGTGTCCTTCCTGTGTCCAAAAACAACCATTATTCTTTAATGTATTAATATTTCAATGCCAAAAAGAAGAAGAAGCTCACCATGCAAATTGATCCCGGAGTAATGATTTGTGGGTAATTAAAAGAGAGAGAGAGAGAGAGGCTGAAAGCAAGCTAAAAAATCCTCTACTACTGTTGATTATATGTAGGGTTATGGAAGACTGAATTGCTAAGCAACAGAAAAAATGTATAGATATCAACTTGTTTTTTGACCTCAAATTAATTGGCTCATGAATCATTTTTTCCATTGTTCCGTACCTGAGGATTGAGATGATATCCAACACCAACTGCTGTTATCTTCACAGCTTTTGAGGTAATCTCTATATCTATGCCCAGATTATTGATGTCTACCATGAAAATTCAGAAATGATTTAGTTGGATTATTAGTTACTACAATACAAAATTAGATTAAAAAAAAATGGTTTGTTAGGTGAAGAACTTACCTAATTGGTTCCCTAAGCTGACTTTGTAAGCCACCATCTCCTCCATAGAATGCAAAATGCAGTTGAAGAATCCAGATGAAAGAAAAATACTTGCATAGACCGCAGGCGCATTGGCACTGGATACCAATGACTGCAACTCGACTTCAAATGTTGTGCTATTAGTACCTAAAACATGATTAAAAACAATTAACCATCATTGTTTTCTGCCATCTGAGCATCCAAAATTACAACAATAACAAAGTATAAAAAATCAGCACAAAGCAGAACTTGAATCCACCAACTCTTAAACAAGAACAATTAACAATATGAAATTTAAAGGGTATAACAAGATTAAAATAAACCAAAGAAAAATTAGTAGGAAAAGTGGGAAACCTGATTGAATAATGAGAGGCAATTTTCTATCACCAATGGATAAACGGATGATGGATTGATCATCTTGTGCTGGATTACATATAGCTGCAAGCAGCCTATCAAATTCCAAACCAAGCATATAAGATTGTGTGCAATTGAAAACAGTGCAGGCATCCGGTTTCAGTGTCAGTAAAGCCTTGAAACTCCCATCCAGGTTTTTAATTTGGATTTGGAGTTGAGAAGGTTTTGCTTCGAGATTAGATCGGTAGATCTTTGGTATCCGAATTGCTCGAAGCGCATTTCTCAAACCAAAAGCTGCATGGGAATTTAACTCCAATGTGAAACCAGTCTGCAAAATCAAAATATATACTAGAGCATCTTAGAATATATATTTTTGTGGACAAACAGATACAGAAATTTTATTGAGTGGAAACAAATATGTAACTCATTGCTTAAGAAGAAAACCTTATCAGGATCACCACTTTCTTCCTTCTTAGCACTCTCTTCCTTCTTCACGGTGTGACCATGAAGATCCTGAGGCTCTTCTTTCTTCACTTTGACATTCTTGGATTTGGATGAATTGGCCGCAGGATTGCTCCTCTTTTGAGTTTTACGGGTTGAATTCACCACTGGTTCCTCGTCTATAACTATCACCTCCTTTTTAACGGGCTTCGCATTCCCACTTACATTCATTTTGGAAACCGTCTTAGTAATTTCAAGGAATTGAAGAATAAGGTTTAGGTTAAGGAATGTGACACAAGACACCTTTTTATTGTGGCTATGAGGGTTGGTTTCTTCATTGTCTTTCAAATATCTTTCCATTTCTTTCTGCTCCTTGTTGACCATCACCACTTCCTTTTTTTAAGGAGCAAATAATTTCCTAAATCCCTTTAATTGTGAATCTTGACAAATTAAATCTTATTTAGGGAATAATAATAGATTTAATGTGAAAGATTTAAATAACTCACTGAAAAAAATAATAATAAATTTAGATAATGAGATCAATCTCATTATTTTTTAACTGCTTGGGTTCCACTAATAACTTATTTCTTTTAAGTCAGTTACAATTGCGACCCATGAAAGTATTTATAAGCAAGCTGCTCCTCGGAGTGTTCATTGCTGATGAAATTAATTAAAGCAGCAGCACCCATGTCTCTAAGATGCCTGTTAACTCTTTCCTTTCAATTTCACACTACACTAATAATATATTTGGTTTGAGGGAAATAAAGGGGAGGGGATGATTTTTTGACTAATTAAATTATAATGGTTTTAAATATTACAATTTGATTGATAAAAAATCCCTCCCTTCCTCTGAAATCAAACATATTGTAAAGAAATAAGTGTAATTATTGAAGTGTTCAATGAATTAAAAGGAAAGGGTTAATCATGTTTGTATATATATATATATATATATATATTTATAAATTAGTAGTACCGACTAAGATCTAGTTTTCTCATATATATTATATTCAAGTTTTTCATGATAGATTATACATTAAAAGTATACTTTATTTTATAAATTTACTTAAATATCTTTAATGAAATAATATAAAAAATAGTTTCATTAAGAGTATTTAAGTAAATTTACTAAACAAATTGTGCTTGTAATGTGCAATCCAAATTGTTAAACATCAATCATATATATGTGTGTGTGCGCGTGTGCGCGCGCGCGTATGTGTATCAATTGCCCCGTTAGCTCAAACCAAGCTGAGATGAACAAATTCAAGGTACTATGCAATTATGCAAAACACAGATATTTGACAGATTTACATGAGTTTATGAAAGCCAAGCACAACAATTTTTTTAAAAACAATGATACATATACCATGCAAAGTAATACATTTCATTACACATTAATGGTTTCTATCAATATATAATGGAAACTATCAATTTTAACAGTATAAATAATAAAAACTGTCAGTTTTGACAATATAGATAACGAAAACTATCAGTTTTAATGGCATAAGTAATAGAAATCATCAATATGTAACAAAGTGTATAACTTTACATTTGTATGTATAGTTTTCCCTTTTTAAAATCAGCAAAGAAAGTGAAATGTATTGCAGAAAGGGAAAGGAACACGAAAAGTACCCAATAATCAAAGTACAAAAGGGTGAAATGTTTCTAGGTTGAACTACATAGTCTCTAGATAATCCTTGGAATGTTTGCACCATAAAAAGTGACACTTGCAGTGCTTGACGAATAACAAAGTTCTGGCAAATACTTGTTATGAACATAAAGTGTCACATTTTCTGCAGTCTTGGATGCCTGAATATAATTCTTTAGCTTATTAAGTCGAAAGGAGACGTGGAATTCTTGATCTTTAACATCAAGCATGTCACAGTCCCCTTCCTGCAGTGTCAAAACAACCATTATTTATAAACGTATTAATATTTCAATGCAAAAAAAAAAAAAAATCATAAAATTTGATCCTGGAGTAACAATTTGCAGGTAAAAAATATGGAACATTCAAATCCTGATCAACAGTAGAAAAAGTTTCCACTTAATTGCTTTTGATCTTTAACTTTTCTGGCTCATGAATCCTTTTTTTTTTTTTTTTTTTTTCGTACCTGAGGATTGAGATGATATCCAACACCAACTGCTACTATCTCAACCCCTTTTGAGTTAATCTTTATATTTATGCCCATATTATTGATGTCTACCACGAAATTTTAGACATTAATTAGTCAATTGGTTTATAGTAAATTATAATACAATCAACAATCTGTCCCACATGGATTATACTTCACTTAACCATTAATGAAAGGGATGAATTCGTTATTGGGCACACCCTTCAATCAATGGTTAAAAGTAAGTGATTGCACAATAGCATTCTCTAATACAAATTAAATACATATAAAAAAATGGCTTCAGTGAGCCAAGAATTTACTTAATTGGGTGCCCATGCTGGCTTTGTAAGCTAGCATTTCCTCCATAGACTGCAAAATGGAGTTAAAGAAACCAGACGAAATAGAAATATTTCCATAGACAATAGACTCACAGCCAGACTTATTAGTCAGTAGTACTAATTGAGTTCTGCACCTCAGCTTCAAATGTTGTGTTACTAGTACCTAAAAACATGATTGAAAAGTACAAATAAGTACTATTGTTTTCTTCCTTAGTAGCATCAAAATTAATTTAGTACTATTCAAAATCATTTAAGTTGTAATAACAAATCAGCATAGAACAAAAGTTGAAGTTACCTGATTGAATAATAAGAGGCAATTTCCTATCTCCAATCGATAAACGGATGATGGCTTCATCATCTTGTGCTGGATTACATACAGCTTCTAACAGCCTATTGATTCCAATTTAAGACTATACGCTTGTGTCCAACTGAAAACTGAGCAAGCAGTCAGATGCAATTTCAGGAAAAGCTTTCATATTCCACTTGGTCCTGAATATAAATTTGGAGCTGAGAAGGTAATGACTTTGGAAGATTCTGGAAACTTAATTGATCGCAGCGCATTTCTCAAACCCAAAGCTGCATGGGTTTTTAATTACATTGTGAAACCAGGCCTGCAAAATAATCAAGACATATATTAATATATATAGATAGTTACAAGCTAAACATTTTATTGAGTGGATACAAATATATATCAGAAAATAAAAAACCTTAATGAGAATCCGCACCATCTTCTTTCTTGAGGTTGACTTGCATTTTGTTATCTTGGTCCTGAGGCTTGGACTCTTCTTTCTTCACTTTAACATTCTTGTGGTTGGATTCCGCCACAGCATTGTTCCTCTTTGGAGTTTGGAGGGTTGATTTCGAGTTATAGGCTATCGTTTCTACGTCTATATGGGCTTCGAATTCATATTGGAAGCCATCTCGACAGTTTAAAGAAATTGAAGAATTAGGTTTAGATTTTAATATCAGAAACGAAAAGTGGGAAGAAAGAGTCTAAGGGTGTGACAACAAGATCCTTTTTAAGACAATTTAGGTTTAGGTTCTTCAATCTTTCCATTTCGAGCTTAATTTAAAATTGTAAAGGTGATCAATCGATATCTCTTGACTTGATTAATTAAAGTTTTATTGTACTATTAATTAAAGTTTTTAAAGAAATTAAAGTTTTATTGTACTATTAATTAAAGTTTTTAAAGAAATTAAAGTTTTATTTTACTATTAATTAAAGTTTGAATTGTAATTGATATATACTTCGTACATTATGTGCTAGACTCTATCAATTTATGATTTCTCACCTTTTTAATTGATTGTAATTGGGGAAATGCTATTGGGACAATCATTTTGTTCCATTTTTTTTTTCCATTTTACGTGTCATTAAAATGATTGATTTTTTTAATTCATGTGGGACTCATAATATTGAATGCATCCACTAATTTAATGACATGTAGAAGTTGTATAAAAAGATGGGACAAAAAAGTTATTCCAATAGCAATACCCTTATAATTATTTGACCTAATTTTAGTCTTTGTAGAAGTGCTAATTAATCATAATAAGAAATTATATTTTAGTTTTATGATGTAAGGCAATCCAACTGAGTGATTTTCTCTTATAGCCTTTACTTCCGTTTATACTAAATTGATAGAGAAAATATCTGAATTGTTTATAAAAATATTCAAATATTTTTAATAAATTTTACTTAAGTGTTAATTCATTAAAAATATTTAAATTTTTTTTATTATTAATCTTAACATTTTAATTTTTAAACGACAATCCCCAACTAGTATACACTATTTACTTAACAATATATTTAATAAACTATTGGTTTTACTATTTATATATAGGAGAGTATTATTTAATTTAAACTATAAAATAATATACCCTTCTATATATTGAATTGATAAAACCTATAATTTCTGAAATTAAATAAAATATATCACAAGCTTTTCGTCCTGGCATGTTCAAAATGAAACAGTAATGCATCATATATCAAACTCTAAAATAGTTATACTAATTACCTGTTAATTCAAATAAAAAAATTAATTTTTTTAAAATAAAATTTTAAATTTAAGTCTTATAAATAAAAAACAAATATTAAAAGAATTTTTTATTTTTATAAATCCAATGTTACTTAATTTTAAATTAATCAAAACTTAATACTGCTTTTAGATACGGAGGATTAATTTAAAAAAAAAAAGGGTTGTACCAAGTAAATCACAATGCTATTTGCGGGTAAAAATATTCTGGTCTTCTCTTTACAATTTGTACACAGATTTCAGCACATATATCAACAACAACAACCTCCTTTAGACTATCTACCGTCAGCTTGAAAGCAGCAGCATCGCATCTTTCCCGTCACTAGCTGATTACTGTACTTGGAATTCAAAGTCATGGTTGTTCCCTAATCATGGCACAACTCACAATATGCTACGCTTCCTTCGAAAACATCAGTAACTTTCTGACCTGTGTGGGGCGCGTGACATGAGAGGAAATAAATGCATAAAGTTCATCTAGAATCGCCCTCTCTATGTTATTTGGAGCGGAGCAAGTTGGAACTTTCTAATCGAAGTTTGAAGGAATATCAGTATCTGTATCTGAAGGATTAGCAAGCTCAACCAGAGGTTCCTGCAGATCCCAAAACTACATCATGAGACATATTCTGTATCAGTGTGAGAAACCCATGTCTTGGTAAAATTCTCTTTTCTGAATCATATGGAAGGAACTGAGGTATTAATTGCATTTGTAGCACACTTATATATTACTTCAGAGGGAGTATGAAACCTATTGTTGCGGATATAAAAGGCAAATTAATGTCTGAACAAGGAGATGCTATCCAACTAAGAAGTCAATTGTGTCGATTTATACCTGTTCATCATCATCCGCAGAAGAATGAACAATTCCCATGGGCAAGGTATGTGTAAGATCTGCAGATTCATGCAACTCCTGTGCACAAGTGGAGAAGCAAGTTAGAGAGAAAATGAATATATTGCCACTAAAGCCCAATCAATAAAAGAAAGAATAAAAGAGTCAACAGATAATAATTAGTACACAAATGAAGCATGAAAACCACATCCTTATGGGGGCAAAGTAATTTCTATGATTTAAATGTAATAGTAGAACTTAACATACTTCTTCATCTGGGTTGAATGAAGGTTTATTTGCTCCTTCAGAAAAACCCTTGGAAGGATTTCCAGAAGCTGCCTGCATGCGCAACCAGATCATCTTAGAAAGAAGAAGCATGTGATTATAAGGAAAAGTCAACAGGGTAGAATAATAGGTACATGCTTATCTTGGTTGCCAGAAAAATCTCCATCCATCATTGAAGGCTTGATATCAAGTGGGGTTTCCTGCACAGCATTTATGGAATTGGTTTACCCAATCTTTACAAGAGTAATAACACTAGAATGACTTAACCATGATGCTATCTCATACAAAAGATTCCACAATAAAACTTTATGATCCCAAAATGTTGTATTACAATGATACATATAAAGAATAGCAGAAATAAAAGACAAAAGAATGCTTCTTACAGTGAAGGAATGAAAAAATAGGTGCCATTTTGCAGATATAAACAACAAAAAAGATTGCAGTCCACCAAGGGAATATGAAGTGGACTTCCAAAATTGAAGAAAATTTAAATTCTGAAAACAAAATGTTACATCTCTTTCTTTTAGCACATACAGGCTCAGTTTGATCCAGAGAAATATTCCTTCCTCCCTTACTGAGATCTCTTAGTGTTCCCTGTAAATCCAACAAAAACGTCAAGGGAAATGATAATGACACATGCTGAGAGTCTGACACAATGATGTTTAATGTGGAATACAATGAGGAAATGTTAAAATTGGCAGGAGTGCAAAACCAAGAACAATTGTGCCATGAGTGCAACCAAACATGCTCTTGAACAGACAAGAGTGATGCACAAATTCTTACCTTCTCCTTACAGATTTCAAGACCATCACAACTTAGAGACAGTTTCAATGGTAAATGAAGCTAGACGGGATGCTATCTTCTCTATTACTTCCCCATCCCACTGAATAACATGTTCAAGAATTTCCCAAAACTTTCATTGTCAAAGTGTGAAAAAAAGAGAGTAAATTTAACTTATTAATCTTTTACTGAACTATACTTAGCGCAAAATGTTCAGTTTTTTTTAAACATTCATATTTAATCACTAAACTCTATAAAACTTCAAAAATACCATTCAATTGGTAACAGGTAAAAATGGCAAGGAAAGCCTATTGGTAGCTCCCTCCCTAACTCTACTATCTACCAATCTATTCATTTACACAAATACACCCAATTGTTCTAGCAAAAAAGATAATAAAAATTACCTAAAGCATGCAAAGCAGTCCCCAACTGTTAAATAGAAGGAATTGGACATAGAATGATAGAACTAACAAAATCATGTATCCGAGCAAGAACATGATTAGAACCAAACATACCTTATTCGCCCACATGAGTCCACAAGCATTACATAAAGTCCTTGGACCAGCCGGCCCGCGTCGCATCGCAGGAGTATTATTCTCACTTACACCACAATGTTGACATCTTCGAACACTATAAGAAATTAAAAGAACTAATCAAAATTAACCATCATAATTACCATTTCCAGATAACAAGCATGTATAAGCTAGGAACTCACACAGTTTCTGCACGAGGACTACCATCTTGAATGCCACTTTGTGCAGAATCCCAGCTTGAACCCCCTGTACCTTCTTTTAAGGATGCAAACTGCCCATTCTTACGATGCATCCTACCAGAATAAAAGGAAAATTGAAGAATAGTGAATGCTAATCACAAATCATCTTGGATTATATCTATGGGAAATAAATTAAGCTAATTCATAGTGCAGAAGTGTATCAATAACTGTATACCCAATATAGAAGACCATTAAGCTTGAAAGACAGCACCTATTACATTTTTTTTACATAAAACACCCAGAAGTGAAAAGTTCACATTTGGCATGGGAAAACTACTGAGCAGCCAACTCAGAATTCAAATTTGAAAAGATCAGGAAACTTTCCCAAGAAAATTACTTAATAGAGTACATCTTGGTCATAAACTGAACACATTTTTTGAAAATAGTGTCAGTTCACAAAAAAAAAAAGGATTTTAATCAAATTGCAAAGAAAAATGCAACAGAAACTATAGATCCAATTTAATTATGAGATTATTTAAAGAAAAGATTAATGTAATAATTAGAAACATATTTAATGATTCATTTGAACAATAACAATACATTAATCCTTGAACTCAGAATGCAGCCAAATCTAGTACATCTCTAACTTTCACAGCCATTGAAACAAAGATGAGAAAGATACACCCCACTCAAACAACCTCCCCATCTTAAATCAGCAGAGACTGTCCCATCAAATAATCCAGTAACATCCATAATAACAGAAAAAATATTAAATCATAGAACAGCATCTGGAAAATTAAGGAAAACAGATAACCAAATCTTACCTCTGTGCAACCTCCTTCCGGACGGTGTACCGAATTTTCTTGTCAAAGCATCTCTCTTTCCTTTTCTCACGGAACCTAACTAAGGATGCTATTCGTCTTGAAAGATTTGAGTGCTTGGATGTGTCACCCACAACCTACAGAATACGGAAGACAAAAATAAGCACAGAACACAAAAATGAAAAATGAAATGTAATTATAGCTGAATGCTTAAAACATATTCAGTACCCTATTATTTTGATCAAAGGGTGCTTCAATTGTGGGAACACCAGTGGGTATGTCTCGACCTCCAAGCAGTAATAGCACAGCTTGCACCTGTCATGTACAATCCAACAGACAATAGCCCTAATTTAGTACAGGGAAAATTGTGAATTGTGATTTCGTTATACACTAAAACCCCGCTTTTTATAAGGCTAAGAGAATTGCAGAGAAGAGTTTGATAAATCGCAAAAACAATCCAAAAGAAGGGAATTTTAAGAAAGGAAAATAAAAATTAAAAAGCAAAATGGCCACCTTTTCTGGTGTAACAGCTGGGAATACATAAACTTCTCCTTCAAAAGACAGAGTAAGCTCGCTAGTCCTCGACGCCATAACCATACCACCTCCAGCTCCACCACCAGCACTCCCAAGTCCATGCTCCGCAACATTCACAGAATTCATATTTCCATCCTCCACATCATCCATGCCGTCGTCTTCATACTCGGCATCATCATCCTCGATCTGTATAGGCGCTCGCCCGTGCTCCTCAAACGGACGCGCCTGCAGTGGCTGAGGATTCGCAGCGGCCATTCACCACCAACAATAACCCTACCGGCGCCAGAAATCGAAACTCCAAATTCTCAATCCTCACCTGTTTCATTGAAGAGACATGGTTGTCTGCTTGTCGGTAACTGATTTCTTCGTAAACCCTAACCCTAAATAGATATTTTCTGAGCTTGAGCAAGACGAAGCATCGGAGATGGAAAGGAAAAATTCGAAGAAAAAAAATTAAAATAAAAATTCGGAATAAATATGAAAAGTCCTGAACTTCTCTAAATATAGCAAAGGATTTTGCAGGGCGCGAGCTCTGTTTCCTTGGAGAGACTCAAATTTGGAAAAATTCCTTTACTTTCTCCTTTTCTTTTCTTTTCTTTTCTTTTATAATTTCCAATTTTATTCTTTTGGATAGTTAACATTTCAACTTTGTTTCTCTTCACGTTTTAGTCCTTAAATTTATTTTATTGCCATTGATATTTCTAAACTAGAGTAAGCATTTGCACTTGGCCTTTTAGGCTAAATGGCTATAAGTCATGTTGAATGGTAAATCCCCCAACCTTTAGGTTGGGTTTGAATCCTCCCTCTCCCACCAAGTTGTAACTTGTTGAAAGAAGAAAAAAAACTAGAGTAAGCAATTTTGCCAACTAATTTGCTTGGTGTTTGTAGGTAGGGAATGTCACTTATTTTATATTTTAGTCATCAATGTTTAGATAGCATATGCCTTTTGTACTGAAAAAGAGAGTATTTTGTTAATTGAAAGAAAAATTAATAACACACGATAACTTATTTGTTAGCTTATTTAATATATACTTCATTGGTTTCTTATCTTTTCAACTCAATTCTTCAACTTAATGTAAAAGTTGATGTGAACTCAATGAGTATAAAAACCAAAACATTAAATACAATTATTTATTTTCATGACCAATAAGTCTACATCATTAATTGTATAAAACAAGGGAACAAATGAGGCAAATGAAGCATCACGTGCGCAGAAAGTGAGGAGAATCCAAGTGTTGGTATGCTTGGTTAAAGGTCAATTTATAAAAAAAAAAATATACTATATAAAAAGTTAATAAATTTAGAAATAAGTTTTGAAAATAAAACGTAGGAAAAAACTAAATTGAGGGGTATAACTGATGAGTTTCTTCCTTGGCAAAAACTTATTTTTAGTTCTTCACCTTATCAAATTTAAAGATTTTAACCCTTTATCTTATATTATGACACTTTTAACTCCTCACATTACTAGATTTATAGATTTTAACTCCTCAGTTATTAAAATCGAATAAAATAACTCACTTTATACTGACTGTTAACTCTATTAGCTGAAAGTAGATTTTTATTAATTAACAATCAAATAATAGCCAATTAATAGAATTAATGAAATATTATAAAATTAGTTATGTTAAATCTGTTAGCTGAAAAAATGTTTTTGACAGTTAACAGCTAACAGTCAACTAATAGCTAACAATCAACTAACAGCTAGCTAACAGAATTAACAGTCAGTTAACAAAACTAGTAAAATGTTATAAAATGAAAGTTATTTCCTTCAATTTTAATAAGTAATAGGTTAAAAATATCATAATATAAAATGAGGGGTTAAAACCTATAAATTTAGTGAGATAAGGGGTTAAAAATATTATAATATAAAATAAGGGACTAAAACCTTTAAACTTGACAAGGTGAGGGACAAAAGTAGGCTTTTGCCTTCTTCCTTTCCCCTTTGATAGAAAGAGAATCTGTGGCCTTGTCGAGGGAATTTTTGAACTACTATTTTAGACATCAAAAACTAGGGAGGGAGGGGTTGGGTGTGGCGAGACGTGTGGTGTTAGGGGTGAGCTCGGAGGTTTTTGAGGTGATATGGTGGGGTCCAAAGGAGTTGATAGTTCACGTGGGGTGTGTGTGTGTTGGTGATACAAAGAAAATATTATTAGGGTAATTATTTTATTTTATTTTTTTGTATAATTACACTTATCATTAAAATAATTAATTTTTTTAATTCATATAAAATTCATGATATTAAATATATTTATTTATTTAATAATATATAAAAATTATATAAAAAAGTTATCCATATAATATCATCTGTGATAAAATAATGAGTAAAATTTGTGGAGTTGAGTGGACCCCTTCAGTGAAGATGTGTGTTTAGTGGGCGGGATGATCGGACGGATGGATTTCATTTTTGAGTGCAACCTTTCACCCCCTTTTCCGGGGGGGCTGCGGATTAGGTGTTGTGAAACCCATCCTACGGCTACGGTTGCACCATCAACGGGACATATCCAGTGGAATTAGAATTATGGTCAACTTAACCATAATTCTCACGTTGAAAATTTATTTTAAGGACATATTAAAATGATTCCGTAAAATTAAGAGGTTTTAATAATTAAAATATTAAAAATAAAATTATAAAAAGAGTAAAATAAAAATTTTTTATTAAGAGTATTTAAATAATTTTATCAATAACCCTATATTTATACTTTTTCTTGTCTGTTGACCTGAAAACTATTTTTTATTAATAAAAAAAAAAGTAGAAAAATCGATGTTTAGCGAAGGAGGATGCCAAAAAAGGAAAAAAAAATTTCAATTGAGGCACTATGGAATTAGGCAAAAAGTATTATGTACAGTAAGTTGGGCTAGCTTCCAATATTTTAAAGAGAAATCTAAGTACCCAGATTCTGCTACTCTTATTCCAGAGGAAATTCTGTCCTATCCTAGTATGAATTACTAATGTACATTTACACATGTATGTAACTCCAGAATTCGAGTCTTAACTCACCTCCTCATTTTGAAAATAAAGGAAGAAATTGGATTGTCTATATGGTAGCATCTGATGTATAGTGTATAGTGCAGTATATGGCCACCCTTCAATATCTTCGAGTGCCTAACGTTAATCGAAACATACTCTTCATTGAAAATCTTTGTGGGGGCCTGAATATCACCACTTGGCGATGGAAATGGTTACGGGTTCTACAATCCCCTGTCAAAAATGAAAGCAAAACTCAGTAAAATTCTTACCTACTACTGATGCTCATCAGAAAAATAATCAACTAATGATTAGCATTTTTTAATGTGTACAGATTGAAGTAACACTTTCATGTTTCTGATGGTGTTCAACACTATCATGATACCAAAAAATAAAATAAAATAAAAACCAAAACTTCAGAGAAGGAAATAGTGTTTGAAATTGTTTGGACCATGGATCTGGTATTTGCCAAAGTAATGATGATTTTTGTAATGGGAACAGAAACATTAAGTCGTTTCAATCAGGGATATGCAACATTACTATAATTCAAGAGCAAATGAACGTGGAGCAGAATTTCACAAATCAGAAGCTACCTGTTTCATTTATGTAGCTTAGACACAGCCGGTTGCAGCAGTTTTGGATTTCATATTCCGAGGGCCAGCTTTGCGTTGTTGAGGATTTTCAATAGAGTATACAAGAAGGCTTCCATCTTTTGTCCCTGCTAAGAAGCACTCTTCTGGCGTGACTGTTAGGGATGTTATTATCTTTCCTACTCCATTATATTTTCTCACCACCTCGAGTGTGTTCATGGAGCGTACAACTATCTGTCCCTGGTCACCAGCACAAACCAAAAAGTCGCCACATCCACTGAGTTCAACACAGTTAAGGCGCCCATTGGATTCGGAAGATGCAAGATGTTTTCCATTGATAGAATAAAGGTGCAAACTGAGATCATTCTCAGCATAAAATACAATCCGTCCATGTGGAGAAGCAACAAGCTTTGATAATGCACTGCCAGATGGATGCCGTAGAGATCTTACATATCTTCCACGCCGCAAGGTGTGGAAGATGCAAGTTCCATCTTTTGAACCACTGATAACCACATCAAGCTCCACACTAACATATAAGCATGTAATTATATCATCATGACCACAGAGAATATGGAAAGGAGTTTCAACAACAACATAGTCTTTACGGGGTACTTCTGTGGGTGTACTACGAACTTTCTTTTCTGGAGTTTTGGAACGGAAAACTTCCCACACCATTACTGTTGTATCATAACTTCCAGTTGCAAGAATGCTTCCATCAGGGGTTACTGCAACATATTAACAATCTTCAGTGACGACAAAGACTAAGAAACACTTTTGTATAACTTATATACTCTAATGAACAAAATAGTTTGCAGATAAAAACTGTGCACATCCTAGACTCAACATGACACGAATAACAAAAAGATATTGCCACATTTCTCACCTTCAGAAGTTTGTATTACCATTTTCTAGTAATGAAATATCTCCCCCTCCCACAACTTAGAAATGCAGACTAAATATTTATTTACTAAGTGCAATTGTTTTTTATCTTATGCTTCAGAAATACCAACCATAAAAGATGATTTGATTACTTAAGCAGATGACATGGAATTTGATATAAGATTATTTACTCAATGATAACTCAGAAGACACACTCCGGTAAACTTCTAAAAGTTCTGTTTAAGTAAAAAACTTGTGAAGGGGGTCAGTCAAATGACTATAAATGGATAGACTGTGCTTTGCATGTTAACACATGATTCACTTCATAATCTATCCAAGGGATAGACCCTTTGAGTTAAACACAAAGAGGTACATAACCATAGTAAATTGGAGTGTTAAATCTCTTTGCTTGTAAGAAGAATACCTGCAACACAGCTAACAACATCTTTGTGCTGCCGAATGCTCTGCACCATTCTTCCATCATTCAATGATATGACTTGAAAACTGTTTTCCCAGTTGCCACATGAGATCAGAAAGTTCTCAGATTGTGTTTGCATTGTTACAAAGCACTGTGCTCCTAGTTCAACGTTTTCTGCCAAAGGACTCCCAATTTTTCGAGGGGAAAGAATATCAGAACCAACTCCAAAGAAAGGCTCCTGCAAATATATTTCCAAGTTCCTTCATAAAAATAGCATCCAAGCATATAATTTTACAAGAAATATCTATCACGAGGAAATAAAAGTTATAAGATAATCTTGAAACTTAAGAACTGACCTGGGATCCAGAAAAGGTAAAATTTCCACCAGATTGAAGTTGGGTTGTCAACCACATCTTAACTGACAAGGTAAGCCCCTGATTCACAAACACAATGTTCGAGTCGAGCATACCAACATATAACACAGCTGAAGGTGGCTGACTTGTGCAAGAAATAATTGACGTCAAATTAATAGAATTGGGTGCAAAATATAAAGGATGAGCAATTGGTATTGGTGGCCCTCTTCTTGGGTGTTTTTTACGGAAAATTTGGATTGGAGTCTGGCCAAAATTAGCAATTTGATCTTCAATCGCTGATCTCTGCAGATCATCATCCATAGCATCTAGATCAACAGCACCTTCATAAGTTAAATAGTAAAAGATATTTGCTGCCTGCAATCCAAAATTATTTTTGCTGAGATTGGCTGTAACGAGAGAGGAAAAGTGAACATTCTTAAAAGTTGTAGAAAAATATTTATTTCTGATGTCATAGATTACCTCCAACGCTGGTTTTCCACGCTGCTTGTAACCAAAAACCAAATCAATCCAGTGGTGAAGATTTGAGCTAACATATTCACTTTCAAGGGCCTCTCGGTTTTTACTTATGAACAATTCAGGAGAGCCCTACCAAATAATGCAAAGTCAGTTTTTTGAGGAATACAATTTAAACTAGATAAATTTTAAGGAAGGCAATTTTTAAACTAGAGCACCAAAATACATTACCTAACATGGCATGTATAATACACATATAGTTGGAACATGCAGCTAGTTTGAAATACAAAAGTGAAATTTAAGTATTCTTTGCAATATTCAACTCAACAGTAACTTAAGATAGAAAGCAAAAGCTAATAGGATAATGCAGAAATTGGAAAGAAAACAAAAATGCATAGAAAGATCCATAGTCAACTTTTTAAAGTACTTCCATGCATGAACCAAAAGGAAAATAGTCTCACTAAAAACCTAGGAGATTAAATACTATAATGTTTACACCTTAGGGCTGTTAACCACAAAAATTAAATTTTTTGCAATTAGGAGGTTTTGCTTATTTGTGCTCGTGTTTTCAAGGAAGCTTCCCACAATCATAAAGCAGTCAACAGAATTCTATCTCCACAGATGTGTTTTCATGTATTTACTTCTAGCATAGCTCCCTAAATCTGCAAAATCTTGCTTACTGAATTTCCCATTTTTCATTGGTCATCTCATGCCCCATCGGTTCAACTACCTACTTCTTTTATAAACCTTGCCTGGTACTCACCTGTTAAGGCTTCACTTCCTAATAATATGAATTTTTTTTGGCCAACCCGATAATATGATTCCAATCGCTCACTGTGAGATTATGCAAGCACAGTTCTCAAATCTAAGATAATTAAAACACATCTTTGTATTAAATGGGAAATAAAGATGTACAAGCCACTTAACTGACTAATCACCACAACCTTCCTCTCATATATACATATTAAATTTATAGTCATTAATCAACAAAACCAGAACTAATATACCATTTCATGTTATCCTTTATTTTAACTTTTGAAAGTAAAAAACAAATTTAATTACTCAACTTTTACAGGTGTAAGGTTGAATCTGGGGTCATAAAATCATAGATAAGAAAAATGCTTTTCAATCAAAATCAATGGACCAATTGAGTAACAAAATTTCCAGCAGGACAGTCTAAAACCTGGCATGTGTGTACCTTGGACCAGGGAGGGAGGCAAACATCGCCTATAGGTTCACCATCTTGTTTTACTCCCAGATGATAAGAGTTTGCATTAACTAGAAACTCAGGCATGTAAAAGAATTCAGGAATTAACTCCTTCACATCACTTGTATTGGAAAGGCAATTCCGATATGTGCCGTCAATGCTTTGAAATAGACGATCTGCATGGTCAAATTTGCCACCCTGAATACAGAAAAATATGATTTAGCAAAGCTTTAAGACTACAGGTTAATGTACTCCAGTTTAGAAGAGAGAAGAAAGGGCTTTACAAGCACAATATAGATAGGATATCTTAAACTAAAGAAAATAACAAATCATAATTGTGAATTTGAACACATTATTCAAAAAAAAAAACTCCATGATAGCTACATAGATGTCAAATTCTTTCAAAACTGCACTGATGTTATCTTTTCTTCTGTGTTGATAGAATCATCTAAAAGAAATAACTAGACACTCAAAATTTAAATATAACAGAAGACTTCATCAAGCTATTGAACAGTAAATTTTAATAATTCATTCCTCTTATTTCTGTCAAGAAAAATAGATAATATGAAGTTTCACTACAAAGGCCATCTTTTTGTGTTCTAAAAATTTCAAGTTTATTTGGCATGTCCTTATTTCAGAAAATTATAGAGGAAAAATTACTGATAAGTCTGAAAGAGACTTTTTACCTTTGGTTCCAGAACAAAGAATATGATGCTAAAATGTGTTCTTTAAAATAAAAAAAGGATATAGCAAAAATGGTGAAATGGAAAATGAATGATCACAAAACTGTTTTTCAGTCCAGACTGGCTAATTTTAATGCCAGTCAGGGGCTGAAAAGACCATTTTGCCATTAATTAATGGGAAACAAAAGATAAAGAGGGGCAAAATAGTCTTTTAAGCCCAGGACTAGGATTAAAAGATAATCAACTGATTTTCCATGCTCTGAGCTTTGTATGCATCACAGAACCAAATACCAAATGTAGCAGGAAAATGTCTGAATGGCATATATACCATGTTATCTCTTATAATCAAAATAAATTGTCTCACTGATCTGGCTGATGGCTATCATAAGAAAAAGAATGTATCTTTATCAAACAGAAGGCAGCCTGCTTTAAATACACTTTCTGATGTAATATACCTAAAATTATGATGCCATCAAAGAATTACCTGTAAATTACGGTGAAGAGTTGTGAATGGTTCTAATCTAAGGAAGTAATAAAGCACAATCCCCATACTTGAGTAATGAGACCCATAGTAGAAACTGCAATAGAAAAGATACAAATATTGGTAAACAGAAGACAAAATTAACCAAACCATACTCTGAAAAAACAACTGGTGCCCTGGAGTTAAAATGAAGACTTACCTGGGTATATCAGGATCACAAAAGTTACGGTATCTGTCTTCAAATACCTAAATAGTAAAGCACAGTGATAGGAACATTAGAAAAGTGACAGAAATTAGCATCAAATTTCTTATACAATAAAATAAGACCAAAATAAACTAACCTCAAACCGTTTCAAATCTAATGCTCCTACTGGCTTGGAAAGATCCCGAAAGGTTGATGACTTGTTAAAATCAAGAACCTCAGAGGAGTAATCTGCTAAAATCCAAGGAAAGACTGGATATTGTGTTAAATCATTATAGGATCTTCCTGCAAGTGTGTTGAGAATCATCAGATACTCAAAGTTTGTAATATCCCTTCTCCTCCAACTTTCTCTAGCAGTTTCTGCCATCTCCAGTGCAACACGTCTATCAACAAATGAAATGGCTCCAGTTTTCTCTCTATTACCTCCTCTAGGAAATAAAAGTTCATTTCTGGTAGCTACTATCAGGGTTCCAATATCTTTTGCATCCTTCTGAGATGCAAAATTGAAGAATATTGGGGCAACTGAATGACTGAAGAAAATTTCTATTGCAGTGTATCTAAGCAAATATCGAGTCCAATGGACAGCTTTTACCTATGGCCAGTCAGATGAGCAAGAAGATATCAAATTGGTGTTAGAAATGGAATAAAAAAAATATAATGTTTTTAAGAACAATGATCCCTTCTCCTTACCTTGTCAATATTCCATCGCCAATGACGCTTAATCTTCAATTGTTTCTTATGCAAATTTTCTGCCTCAACATTATCGGAAGAAGCACCCATTTCAGAATTTAAATCAAGAAATATGGGCCACTTGAAAAACTTATGCTTTTGATCAGCCTTGGCTGAATCAGAATTGCTTGAAGCATTTAAGGTCTTGAAAACCGATGACCCTCCAGTACCTTCAACCAAAAACTCACCAGAAAAATGCAAGACATCTTTCATTACTGCCAGATGTCCTGCCAGTTTTCTCTTTGGTGTTACAAGCACGCATGGAACTGAGAGAAGAACCTACAGCACCAAAAACAGGCAATGCACTCAAACTAATATTTTAATAGGAGCACCCATATTTCCCTAAAATTTTAAATATACAAATGCATATTTCAAATATGAAGTACTTACCTCACTAGTTTCAGTCTCTGGAGGAGACAAAGAAAACTCTTTTCTGTCATGTACAGAATCCTTTTGATCATTGCTGCATTCAAGTATTTCTGAGCATTGATTGTCTAAAGGATCCTCAGAGAAAACCTTCTGCCCACTTGATTCAGCATCACTTTCACCAGGTTCTGAGCTCCCTTCATCAATGATTCTTTGCACACCTTTTAGCAGAAAATGCTTCATTTGCTCAGGAATTTGCCCCGCAAAAGATTTGTTCTCTTTACCAGGAACAGTAGCCTCATCAGTAGAGGAAGTGGATGGAGGATAACAAAGCTTCTTATCAAAATGATAATTCCGTCTTAACTTTGGCCTACGACGCCATGTATCTTCTGTCTTGTCCAGTTTCCAATGTACCATAGTATCATTAGGAAATGGATTAGCAGACCATGGGCCCCTCTCATCAATCAGAGCACGGAACATGTGAATCCATTTTTCCTGTTGAAGAAAAGCTTATTTCTTTACACAAATACAAATACAAGATTCCAGAAAATTGAAAGAATAATATATATATATATTAAAAGGGTTAGCACAGGCAAAAAAATTGTTGCAATAACAATTTAAGACACTGCTTACAGCAACATTTTGCTGATGCTC